CCGATGCTGGCAGCGACAAAAACCTGCGGGGAACTCTGCAAAAAACGCATCTTCGCACGGGCAGCCCGTACGTTGGTCATTTATTTTTTCTCGTTGTAAAGAAATTTATTTTGAGATTTACGCACTCGGATTGCGATGCCGATTTGTTGAGTGTAAATACAATGGAAACGGAGTACGTCTGCCCGACATGTCGCAATTCTCCGTTGGTTGCGGATGCGATGATGACATCGGCTGGCAATAGCTCCGTCGCAGCATCACCAAACTCCATATCCACTCACGATGAAGCATCGCGTAGTGCCCCCATAGAGAGCAACTATGGCATGGATTCGCCTTCTAACAGGAACAGTCCGCTGACGTCACTGGCACACATAGATTCTTCCTTTAACGATATTTTCAGCATTACACAATCCGGAGGTATTTCATTTGACTTTTGATTTAGAAATTTCATTTTAAAATCAAAAAATTGTCCGACCGAAAGAACAAAACTGCTTATGAACATTTGATACTAAATGTCTGTCAAATAATTAGCATAAAAAAAATTTTAGGAGGGATTCAAAAGATTTAAAAAATGCAGTGCTTAACGTATTATATCAGGAAAGACAGCGACAAAATAACTTGACTGAAATAGCCTTGATGTCAAAGGAAGGAACTGGATTTGAAATCTTTAAATTGTACATTGACAGAGGGCATCCCCTTAAAATTTCAGCTTTCTAGCTTTTCTGATTCTCGAATTAGCAATTTCCGTCAAAAGCCTCGCGTGCTCGTATATGGGACTCAAACGTGCATGAAAGTTATTACTATATTCTTGGGTTATCGCTTTGCTAGGGATTAGATCGTAGCAGTCAAGTCGGATCTGTATGCTTAGGCGGGTATTTCAACTCGGCAACCTTGCATACAACATGAAGCATCACAATATGCTTCTAAATACGCAAAAAAGAGTAAAAAGTAGTTGTAAGCTTAAAAGAAATGGTGTGGTGTTCGCTTATCCATTTCATTAAGGCTGAAATGATTGTGGCCACTTTCTTTGCGTACTGAAAAGTACGAGCGCTGCATCAGTTGAACAGGAAAAGAATTTCAGGGCAAGTTTCTTCGATGTCTCCGTCGGGATCTGTGGCGCTGAGTGGGCCAATGTCTTCTAGCAGAGCTTCGCCGGGTTCATTTCCTGAATTTGCTGCTATCGGCGATATTAGTGAAG